CTGAAACAATAAGATGAATAATCGCTCGACGGAAGATTATTCTGCGACAAGTGAGACTTCTCAAAAGCTTGCTGATTTTCTCTTTTAATGCTAAACTGAATGAGTTTGTTTGTTTAAACAACAACCAAGGTAAAGGTACCAGGGTAAGGGGTTGCACAGTGGAGCTGGAGCCTAACGAAGCAAAATAACAGCAAGGAAACTCTGACCTTTCAAAAACCAGCATTTGGATGGAAAAACTTTAAAAGTAATGCCACTTTCAAATGTTATTCCCCAGCAAATATAAAATAAACATCCTTCATTTGAAAGGCTCGGTGAACTCTAAGAGCTTGATCATTCTGTAATCGCCCTGGCCATGAAGGGAGCTTCCAGCAGGGGAGTTGAAAAGTGATCTCTGAATTGAAGTGTCTCAGTCTGTCGTGATTGACTGCTTACTCCTCTCAAATCCATTCCGTAGAGATTCATGGGCAAATTGAGTGGACTGCCTGCCAGGCAATTACTGTCAAGTGGATCCAATTGCACCTCTTTGTCACTCTAATACTGGAAATTTGGTTCTCATTAGATGAATGTCAAATGGAATTAAGGCCTTCACTTATTTTACAAGACACAACCGCCACCTCTGGCAACTTCTTTTCCCACAGCTGCTGGTCCGATCACCTGCGCCGGGATGACAACAGCCGCGATACACGGAGAAAACTTGAAATACAGCCAAGCACTTCAATTTTAGTTTAGTTCCATGTCTGTCCAAAATGTCATGACGTCATCATTTTATCCTATTAGACATTTGTGTGAAATTGTCAAAATGAGTTACGGTTAAAAAAAAAAAAAAGAAGAGTGTTTTGTCAGGTCACAGCGACCAATGACCACCAAAATCTAAGCACTTCATCCTTGAGTGCAGGTGGAAGTTTGTGCCAAATTTGAAGTCTTTCCCTCAAAGCGTTCTGGAGATGTCTGTTCACAAGAATGGGACGGACAGACGGACAACCTAAAAGCCGGAAATGTCAACAGTAAATGTCAATACTTGTGATATCCTGACAACTACAGTATAAACAGTCACACCATGGAGCTTAATTGTGATCTATAATCCCTGTCAAATAGCAATCCCCACTGGTGTGTCTGGTGAGATGTTAAACTAGTGAATAATAGGTTTGGTGTGTAGCGTGCGTGTGTGACATTAGCCAGTGCCTCTCATGAGAGGCGGCGTGGCCATGTGTGCGTTAGCTGTACCAAGACAGAGTAGCTAACCACAACATATGCTTAGGTATTATCACTCTGCTACTAGCAGGAAGAGAGCATGCAAAGTGGAAAGTCTGTGTGTGTGTTTGTCTGTTAAAGTTCCCATTCTCTTTATATATGTGTGTGTTTTCTTGTCTGGGAGTGTGTGTGTGTTTTTGTGTGTGTGTGTTTTTGTGTGTGCATCTCTGCAGGCACCCTCACTGCCAGAGGACTGGCTGCCAACACAGAAATCACCCGGCTTCTCATTCCTGTTTCAGTGCCAGGCATGAAAAAGGCTGAAGAAGTCTCATTGTACCCTGAGGACGCGGGCGTATGCACACACAAAACACACATCTAATCGACACATTATTGGTTTGACTTCAGCAACCGCAAGACTCAATCCAAACGGGAGAAAAACACGATCTTATCTTCATGGGTAACCCTGAAATAAATACACATACAAACACGGCATTGTGTATTCAGTCAGAAGCACCACATAAACTGGGAGCAACAACACAAGCGGAGCTGAGAGGTGTGTAATCACTGGAACACGGCGGATTAAAAAATGCAAGGAGGAAAACAAAAGGGGAGAGATGAGAAAGAGAGAGAGTTGGAAAAACAAGTGAGAAAAATAGAGCGAGTGATTGAAAGAGTAAATACTGGTGGTTTGAGTACTGAGAGAAGGAAAAGGACGGTGAACCAGAGGTGGACTTCGTCGCAAATGCTCGGCTGTGTCAGCACTCCCTTGCAGCAACGGCTCTCAACAGCTGAACGTTCTGGCAGCGACAATATGGCCGCAGATGGAATTAATATCACCACTTTCATCCGGCACTGTCATCTAACGTGCCCCAAGCAATAAAACCAAAGAATATTAATTTTTTTGTTTTGTTTTGAAAAGCAAGGATTGTAAGTAAATCATTATTTTATGCGACAGCTGATTCCTCTCAAGTGAAACAATTCAGTTCGGAGCTTCACAAGTTAGTATTTCACACGTGAACTAGAAAACGGCGTTGATGTCGCGCTCGGGATTAAACACTATGCCACGAGTGTTTTGAGGTAAACGAATATGTGAACAAGGAAATAACGTCTCTGCCACTCTCAGAAGTTGCTGCCTAACCTCCCAACCTTCCAAACACTCTCAATAACAACATTCAAAGTCAAATAGTTTTAATTTCGAGTTCACTGCCTGTCAAAACCCAGAGAAGCGACAGGGTTTCGGAGAGGTAATCAAGAATAGCAGAAGCAGAGGCAGAGACAGAGCACATAAACAAGGGGATGATCTTTTACTTTTTCCCCCGTGGAGCTCCCAATTTAAGCTGAAGCCCCTCTGTACCTGAGACGTGATGAGAAGGAATCTCACTGACGTTCATATGGGACTCGGAGTCATTACCAGCACATTGGTTTTGGACTCAAACAGTTGCGACGGCAAATCAGGGGAACAAAACCTCAAGGATTCGGCTGCTCAATTGAAATGCAGTGTGCAATTAACTTTGTAATCTGTTTACAAATGAGGTCTACCCTGCTGCAATCTCTGGAGTGCGTATTTGTATGCAGGGGTAGTGTGTTTGTGTACTCGGCGTGAATAAATTCTCACTTTGGAGCGAAGATACCTATATTAAGAAAATGAGAGATTTATAATCCATATGGAAACTCAATATAAATTGTTCTAAATGACAATATATACAGTATATATGTGTGTGTGTGTGTGTGTGTGTGTGTGATTTGTGTGAGCACATCATGATGTGAAACACAGAAGAGCAGTGAGAGAGTGAGGCAGTGCTCTATAAAAAAAAAATAGGGCTTTTTCTCCAACACTGAATGATTTATTGAGATGAGCTAAAACTGTTTTTTATACGAGGAAGGAGACTAAAAGCATTTTCCAATACATTAGAGAGGGGATGGGTGTAATTACAAAGCCAGAGTCAGTGTCCTCCGTCTTAAATAAATCTAATATCACGCAGCCTGTGATTACCACACAAAGTGATATGATTATTCCCATCTGAAGTGTGTGTGTGTGTGTGTGTGTGTGTGTGTGTGCGTGTGTGTGCATGCACGCGTTAAAGGTTTAACATCGTTTTGTCTCTTGTGAGAACTCAATCAAAAAAAAAAACACACGTCCCTGTACTCTTCCTCCACCCAGTCTGTCCGTGTGCAGCTCAGATGATAAACATATTCTCCACAGCTGAGCACCGAGCTCTGCCGACATTTGAAAATGGGCAAGAAATAATTGGGGTGTAAATAGTTGCTATAGTGCCCCCTGAGGGGAAGACGACATGATGCTGCGGCTCATCGCTTATACTGCAAATTTAAAGTTTTGATAATTCATCATTCTTTTCTGACTTTTATGGACTTTCTCACCTCCGCCTTACCGCTTCATTTAGTTTCAGCTTTGTCATTATTCTACGCTGTCAAATAAATGCTTTGTTTTAAAAAGGTGCTTTGGATGCTGCGTGCTCCCCTACTGTGGAAAACTGCTGATTATTTCTGTAGGAAAAAGTGATGCCGATTGAAAAAAAAAAAAAAAAAAAAAAAAATCACTCTGTACCCCTTTCTTCACATTTTGATGTGATTACATTAATGGCAGCTTGTTATAAAATTGTTATTGGCACTGACAGTCACCTGACTGCTAATTACAGTCCAAATCAGTGATCAACTTGCTGCCAGCTGTTTCAGAGCCAAAAAGAAAAGTGCTTAGTGGCACATTTAATAATTCGTCCTGCAGCATACAGTATGTGGTGTTGTGTGAACACAGAGATGGAATTAGAAAGGATATTTGAGAGACACAGAAAGCCCCAAAGGTTCTCAGAAAATGAAAAATAAAACAACATTATACAGGACCTCACCATGGGAAAAGAATATATATTGTGAGTCACAATTTGTGACATATGATAAAATCCAATTTAACCACGCATAACCAATATTGTCCTCTTTATTTTCCGATACAGCTGCTCTGGGCTGAATTGAAGCCGTCTGGTTTCTGGAGCTTCTGAATAATAATGTACATCACAGACACATAGAAATAACTGAATACGTTTTTAAAAGAATAAAAGCTGACTTTTTAGTGCAGCGATTTGAATTCAAGGCAGAAGGACTACAATGTGACTTCAGTGAGCCATTCCATCACACATCTACCATAATTAGACTCAAGCGACACAACTCATTGTTTTTCTCATTAAAAACAAAAGAAAAACAAAACATCAACAGAATTTTATTTTCGCCTTCAGGGGAGCAAAACTATTGCAGATTAGGGCCAAACTAAAGTCCAAGTAACGCTTCTTTAAACACAGGCCGTCTGATATGGAGACAAATGAAAGGTAGACGTGGGAGATGATACATGCTTCATCATTTAACAGAGGAGAAAGTCTGTAGAAAGATACGCTATCAGACATGAGTGTAGAAAGCTCTGCCTGCACCAGAGTAATCGTCACCATGTAGTTTTACAGAGGGGAGCAGTGATTGAGAGCACTAATGGAGTAACACACACATCCTCCCTGGTGCGCCACTTTAACAGAGAGAGGTGTGTGTGTTTGTGTGAGTTACCGCTGGCCAGTTAATGACGACCCATAATGCATTTTGTGGCGATACGAGCCGTGATATCAGACATATGGTCAGGGTGGAAAGAGTGGATGGGTAAAAAATAATGCAGAGAGAGGGGAGCGGAGAGAGCATGTTTGTGTCAGAAAATGAGGCAGACGCGATGAGCTAACGAGCGACGGTAAAAAGAGAAAGAAAGAGAGCGAACAGAAGAGAAAGTGAGACAAGGAGCAGAGGAAGAGTTTCAGTCTTACCATGTCAATGAGGCTCTCCTGGATCCGGTTCAGTGTGGTTCTCAGTCTGCTGCTGATAAGGCCCAGACCCGATGACTCATACTGTACAATTCCAAAACACACACACACACAAATATATTTACATATCTATCTATCTATATCTATATCTATATGCACACACACACACAATTAGTTTCTGCACCGTGCACAAACACCTTCCTCTTCCTGAACAGCACACACAATTCAGCAGAGTGTGAAGGCACACACACACACACACACACACACACACACACACACACACACACAC